AGAAAACAGCCAAGCTCAGAGAACCACAAGGACTCCAAAATTGTGCAATTAGTCTTTCTCTAGTCCTTATTAGTTCTTGTCAAGAAAACAAGCAACCAATTTCATAAATCTGAATCAGCCTGCATACATTTCATGTTCAGCTGATGAACATCCCTATGTTTTACGATACATACAACTAAGATGTTTTAAAAACACACCACAAAATATAAAACATAAAAGAAACTGCAGAGAAAACTTGGACTTACAAATATGTAATCAGTATCAATAAGGGCTCATTTACATATGCATCTCAGCTCCAATTTTGTCATTATAAATGTTTAGGAATAGGCCATTAGAGGCCCATCACCACCACCAATAAACTCAGGGTTGAGCTGATCACATAAGTTTATGGAAGGCTGCACAAGGCCAGGGTGCACCAGGTAGCCCAGCCTCTGGTGTTCCCTGGAGCAGTTTTGGTTGGCAAGCATGTCGTATGTGAACAGAGTGTGTTTATCCCCGTTTGCTCTGCAGATGCGCGCGTGCACACACAATAGAGATTTCGAACTTCGAATGGCACCGCTCATTTCGGTCTTTTCTGCCCCTGGTCTCATTCTGCCCTCCCTGCAATGCTCGAAGAATGCCTCCAGGCGGCTCAACACGAATGCCGAAACGGGAACCGGCGCGGAGCCCCTTTGCCGAAACAGAGCGATGGAAGGCAGCGCGGCCAGGGGCTTTCTGTCCCTGCTTTCCGCCCGGCTGGCAAAGGTCCTGCCCGAGCGCTCCGGCTGCCTCGGACGATTCCCGCCAGCGACGTTCTCGGACGCTGCCGGTGCGCAGAAAGCGGCTCCTTGCTTTGGGACCGCGCTCTAAAGCGCCCTTTATTTATTTCGGGATCTACCCGTCTGCTGCTTCTTAGGACAAATATTTAGTATATGCGAAGATTTTTTTTTTTAAATTTACCGACTCTAAAGGGACATCGAAGGAAGATGTTCCAGGAGATAATACTTGAAATTCAAACGAGGATGACGGCGATTTGGAAGTGGTAATGCTTGTCACGGAAACGAATAAAAGTAGCGAGGGAGCGTGTGACACGTGGGTCTCTCGCGCGTGGGCTCCGCTGGCCCCGACCCGTGGCCGCGCTTTCCTTCCTTCTCCTGCTCGGAAGATGCTCACAATTCCATTCACCAGTATAACACGCACGGAGTTCCCGTTTTTAACTGGAAACCAGCCGGTTAAATAGAAATTGCTTTCCGCGTAAGCAAGCCATGTTTATAAAGAGACTGTTCACAAACTTGATTGTAGACGTTAAAGTCAGCTGTTCAAATGAAAGTCCTTTTATGACAGAGTAATATTCTCTAAAAATAACCATCTTAGAACTGCAGGAATGAAGTATTCGTGCCGTTCCCTCACGCTGCGATTTCTTTTTTCGGATCTCTAAAGAAGTAGCTTCCAAATCGATATTCACAAGATTTCCCAGGCAACTTTGAAAAATCTTATTCTGCCAGTTTTGCCTGCATTTCAGTGCTGGAATACACACACACACACAAGGGGGGGGGGTGGGCAAGAAAGAAAAGTCATTTCAGTTGCAAAAAATCTAACTTCCTCCAAAGTGATCCGTTCCCCAACAGTCAGGGGAGACAGTGGCCATGTTACAATAGTGTTAGCCCAAAAGCTTTTGAGTCATCACAATTTAAAACCAGTGTAATGGCATAATTTTGACTGGATCATGTGTTGAGAATTTGTGCCAAAAATCATAGAAGTAGAAATTTATTTCACCTTAATGATAAAGTGTGCTTCCAAATTGACGCATAAGCTGTTCATCATCACTTTTTCCAAATAAGTCCCACGACAATTTACTGACATGTAATGAGGTAAGAAAAGGCTTCTAATAATATCCAGCAGCAATGTTAATCTGTGCAGCAAAAGCAACAGTGTAATGTTGAGATGCCGAAAACTAAGATATTTATTATACAATAAACATTTTAACAGAGATTCCAGAATGAACTATGTTCTGAATGGCTCCTAAACATTTAGCAAACAAGGAACATTAAAATGATTGCTTACATTTTAAATTAAATTTAAAATAAACCTTTTTTGTTTCTGATTCAGCACAATCTAATCACAGAGATTTTGGTTTTATTTTCAGATGCTTCCTTTTGCACATCTTCTGACTACAATCTGTCACCTCCAGTAACTAAAGACAGGGAGGACCAATTTAATACATACAGGTGTGCATATCTTGGTGATTCAGCCAAGGGAATATCATTATCATCATCATCTAAAAGTGATATAAAACTGTATTGTTCATGTGTTTATTCCTTTATAAGATTTTGTTATATTGTTTTCCATTTTGTGAAAAGTGGAATACTTCGTTACTTTAGAAGAAATCTTACTGCAGTCAGCAGAACTGTGTCCTTCTGTGTAAATATGCCCAGGACTGCACCTCATAGTTCATTTCATATGTTAATGAAAGAAAGTTGAAGAAAGTTCATTACTGGAGGGTGAGTCCTGGCAATCAAGGGCGAGAAAGTAGATGTGCCAATAATAATAATAATAATAATAATAATAATAATAATAATAATAA